TAGGGTCTAGGTAATAATGGATATTGGGGATTATATTGGGACATTATACGTACTGGTTCTTAGAAGGGAAAAAGGGAAATTTTGGGGTTATATAGGGATAATGGAAAAGAAAATCGAAACTACTACATTAGAGCAGTGTATATATTGGGGTTATAGTAGGGAATATGGGAATATATTGTATGGTGGTTGTACGCATACGCGTTGCAGACCGTTCCACCGGACTGGAACATAAGCTATGTCAGTGATCTATGCTACTGGGGTTTAGTAGGGAATATGGGAATGTTTTATATAGAGTCTTTTTCGGGCTTCTATCCCCTTATTCCCTACTCAGAACCAGTAAGCTATTCGGTTTTGTGTTTGCACACACCCTATACCCTCAACTGTTGAGGCCGAACACAGCTGCCGGTGAACGCCTGCATCCAAGACTGAGACGTCGTTTGGCTGCGAACCACCGAATTGCTGACTATGGTTTCGGGTGTAGGGTCACTGTTCCATATATGGTAGTTTCCCGAAATAGCAGGACCCCAATATAGGCCTCAAAATGCTACAATCCTTGTTATAGGGACCGTGCTAATTTGTTGAAACCGAGGGTGTAGGCTTATGCATACTTACTGGTTCTTAGTAGGGAAAAAGGGAATATAATCCCTGTACAGCCGAATGTAGTATTTTCCCATGTTCCCTACCAACCCCGCTGAGTCTTTGCGTTTGCAAGTTCCTCGTGCTTGTTGCGAAGGGCCTCTCCATTTGCCATCTTTGTTCTGCGCAACCCTAAACCCTAAACCCAATGGCAGCTGGCGGGGGGACCACGCTTCGATCTAGGAGGCGAAGTCCAGAAGTGAAGCACGGAAAGGACGTGAAGGCATGAAGTGGGAAAAGAGCCACCCAGCGTGGGAAAACAGGCAGACTTCTATTGCATAGACCAGGGGTCTGACAGATAGTTGGGCTCACCGCGCCTTCAGCCACAAGGACTGCAGTGCTGCAGCAGGAAAAGCAATTTTCAGGACAAGTGCAACCTCGCATTCCAGAGACCACATAGAAGAAGTGGTCAATGATTTTTTCCTTCAGGCAAGCCAAGCACCAAGCAGCAGCAACAACAACAACAGTTTTGAGCAGAACGTTGGCACAAACTCAGCATGATCAAGCTACCCCATACCCTATAGTCCCGCTTAAGTAGATAGAACATGGGGTAGATGGGGTTCTTATTGTGATATGGGGCGATTCCATATTCTATCTACTTAAGGGAGACTATAAACCCAAAATAACCCCTATAGAACCCCCATATAACCCCTATATAAACCCACATATAACCCCTATATAACCCCTAAACCCTAAGTGAAGGCACGTATTTTCTGCGGACTCCAGTGCATGCCTTGCTCAGCCGGGACCTCACAAAAAAGCGTACCAAACTGCACTTGCGTGCTCCGACTCTAGAAGTCTATAGTCTAAACTCCTTGAAAGGTTATACATGAATTATACAGGGAGATACTAGGAGTTTAGACTATGGCTTAGATAGTGGTGTCCATTTTTTCATTGTACCTATATAACCCCAATATATACCCTGTTATACAGTCGCAGTTTCCATTTTCTTTTCCATTACCCTTCCATTACTCTTATATGATCCCTATATAATCCCTATAGATTCCCAATGTGAGCTCATGCTCGCTGCGATGTGGGATGCTTGAGTAGAAATGGTGCCATTTACCTTCGTTTGTGCCACATACTCTTGAAGCCCATGAGCCTTGAAATCAGGTCTAGCCAATCCAGCAGCGCCAAGTCCAGCAGACTCAAGTGGCGAAAGGTAGGAGACATGGAGAGGGCATGCATGAACGGGCTAATCAAGAGATCCTCGCACAGGTCTCCAGCAGCCCCACGCTTGCTGGGCGTGCAACGTGCTTCAGATACAATACCATTCCATTGCTTTAAGCCTTGGAAGCTACGCTTGCTTATCCTAGGTGGGATCACAACTTCCCTCCCAGCCGGTGACATTGGGTGGTGAACCGCTCAGTTGCTTTGTAACAGGCAAGGACATACCCTGGACATCTATCTATACACTCCATGTATAACCAATATCTAATCCCTGAGTCCTGATAATACCTGTATTCTCCCAAGATTCCCTTTGTAAGCCCTGGGCAAGGGCTTTTGGCAGCAGAAGGTTTAGATTCTTGCTGCGTTTGCAGTGGCTATGCGTTCAGCCACATCCAAAACCCTAAGCAACCCATGACAGTAGTTTCCATTTTGTTTTCAATTATCCCTATATAATGCCCCAATATTATACCCTATAATATAGTAGTTTCCGTCTTCTTTTCCATGATCCTTATATGCCCAGAAGCCCCGAGTTTCCATTTCACTGTCCATTCTCTTGTCCATTTGACTCCATTATGGAGTGATAACCCCCCAAATGCTGCATAATCCCTATAGCAATGTAGTCGTTTCCAGTTGCTTTTCTTTTCCATCAATCCCTAAATCCTAATACAGGGATGAACATGCTCAAGCGAGCTTTGGCCAGCCGGGGGCCTCGGCGACTTCGCACAAGATCTGTTTGCCAGGGCAGTGAACCTTTACCTCAGAAGAGTTGTCTAAAACAGAAGCACCTACATGGGTGGTTGTCAAAATTATGGTCCCCTTTTTGGATCCCTAAAATAATACGGGACCTAATATGTAGGGTACCCAAAAAGGGACCATAATTTTGACAACCACCCACATGAGTTTGCCTGGTAATCTTTGGCTCAAGTAGCGTTGTTTAGATGTGTGCATCTGTCCTCAGCTGGAATGGCTGGCACTTCCAGCAGCATCCATGTCCGGGAGGATTCTGCTCATGCTGTGATACTTCAGTTAATGTTTACTACTACTACTACTACTACTACTACTACTATCACTGCTACTACTACTATCACTGCTACTACTGCTACTGCTGCTGCTGCTGCTGCTACTACTACTACTACTACTACTAGGCGTCGCGATGCTAATTGGTCGCAGTGGTTTTGGGCGTGCACAGTTTTACGAAAAGTTGCAAACGTACCGCGTTTTTCAGTACTTGGTGTGCGTTGACTTGTTGATGCTGTGCAAAGTCGAGGGTCAAAAATCCGGGAAACTACTTGTGGGTTGATCTATCAGGATGATAATTGATCGGTCTTTTGTGGCTTTGCAAGTTGAGTAGAATTTGTCAGGAGGCCTTGAAGTGCTGTAAATTACAGGATTTCGTGCGCTTCTATAATGTTCCCACTGCTCGTGTGAAGCGTACAGGGGTTCATCAAAACGGGTAATAACTAGTAACTAGTGCGAAAATGCCTATTTAATTATTGCGGTAACCGGCAACATGAAACTTGCAGCAAACAGCGCCAGCAAATGCAATAAACATAAGACTTTGCTATTGGATTCAAGACAAAGCCGTTATTACCTTCTCACCCCCCAACCGCCTCAACCCCCATAATACGCATCCACGTGCAGCAAGCAACAACAGCAAAAGCAAAGAAGATAAGACGTTGCCATTGGGTTCAAGATAAAACGAATGTCATTAAAGCCCCGCCGCCCACCCACCCCAACCTCCCCCACAACCCATCCCCCCCCCCCACACAACCCAACCCCCCTCCCCACCCCAACCCCACCCCAAGCCCCCCAATACGCATCTGCACCGACGATCGATTAAAGGCGCGTAGGCTACTACTACTACTACTACTACTACTAGTACTACTAGTAGCCGCCCGCCCCCCTACCAACTATGTTTGCTGAAATTGCCGACATAAATGTGGGGGAGGCGATGTTAGAAAACGGTGAGCAACATGACAACGAAACGCTTTCCACACAGGGCGCTGGTTAGTTCTCGAAGGCCTGCT